AAAATTCTTAAGAATAATCCTTCAAGTCACTAGCTGTATCTCCAGTGCCACCCTGCAACTGGGGACAGGCCTCACTATGATAAAGGCTACAGGGACTTTGGCCATGCTTAGCTGTTGGTTGGGACTATTTCTCTTTCTCCTGGGTTTTACTCCCCCACCCTCCCCAACTATGAACAATGATTTCCAATCCGTGTAGATGCCAGGTAGTTGTGACTTAAAATTCATTCTTCTCCTACTTGGTTACAATCAAAACTCTTTACCATATTGTGCATAAGTCATATGTAACAATGGCCTGACCTAAAATTTCTCTCTGAGATCTGAGGTAATTTGCTTTTCTATGGCATACCTAAAACAACTAGAACTCTCAACTCACCAAGGGCCAAAAGTCTATGGAGATTCTCAATCATTCAGGTCATGATTGTCCCAAAAATGCTTTTCAAAGAACAACTGGACTTTCTTGGTTTCTTTTTTTCCCTTGAAAACATTTCACTTTTCATTCAAGAAGCTTCTTCAGTTCTTCAGGGGTAAGCAAAACATTTTCAAGGAAAAAAATTAAGAAAGTCCAGTTGCCTTTTGAGATCACCAAGGACCATTACTTTGGCATGATGTCACATCCTTCTTTCAGTGTGCTTTGGGAATGATACAAGAAGGCTCCTTTCTCCCTTGCGCTGCTTAGAGAGTCCATTGAATGGGTTAATCCTCATGTGATTGGCCAGAGACTGAATAAGAATTTGTTTAAACATACCTCCTCTTCCTGTCTAGCCCCAGTTCCTTACTCAGTCCGGCCTTTAGAGACTTTCTTTTTTTCTCTAGCTCCATTCTTTGGACTCTCTACTTTGCAGTTTCGAGGAAGCTTAACAATTTTTTCTAAAATTGAACCCTGACTGAAAGCCTGCTGAGTTACTGGCAGTTTGTGGATTCGCACTTGGCTGAGCGCCGCTCAGCTGAGCAGCGGCTTTGCTGGTGATGATTTGCATTGACTTTCCCCGCCATTGCCTCATTGACACGTGGAGTTCACAGCCTGCCGTTCGGAGGAGATCGCCGTACTGTAAATTGTCTGGGGAGTGTGAAGCTGTGTTGTCGGCTTCACGCTGCGGGGATCGAGAATAGCTCCGTGTTGTCAGAGCTCAGCTCTCCCTTGCTTAGCCCATTTTGCCTTTGATTCAGGAGCTGTTTTGCTGGCTCCAGCTTTGTTCGGGCTCGTTTCCAGGCACAAAAGGGGCTGTTTTGCCAGTTCTGCGCCATTTTGTGGCGGATAGTTTGGGCGCTTTCTAGAGCTGTGCTGCCGGCTCTGCGCCATTCCCACAGTAGTTTTAAGGCATCTGAGGAGTTGTTTTACCTGCACCGAGCTGCTTTGCTGCCATTTTGAGGCGCCTGAGGGCTGTGTTGTCGGCTCAGCGCCATTTTGGTTTCACACTGTGTGAGGTGTTTTCTTCCGGGACTGTTCTGCTAGCCCCGTGCCATTTGATTTCCAACTTCAGGCTTCCAGGAGCTGTTTTGGCAGTCCCACGCCTTTGTGGCACATTTTTCTAACCCAGTTGGAATTTATTTTGGCTTTACTTGTTGCAGCCACTAAGCCTTTCAAAATGGCCAACCACAGTCATTCCCCACCTAGGAGATCCAATTCTCCTTCTCAGCACGGGGCAGATCTAAGGTCAAGCACCTTACCAGGGCCAACACATCCACCGCTGCTGCTTCTTCCTCTGCAGCAGAAAAGGATGCCAAGAGAAGGCATCTGGCCCTAACCAAGCAATTTGACAAATCCAAAAAGCAGGCAGAAACCATCATACCACCTACCCCCCTCCCCATTTTCCCCTTGCGCTGTGTGAGAGTCCATACCTTCCCTTGTTGGGGGTCTAGGACTATTAACTCCTTTTCCGTTCAAGTTTCTGTTTCTTCAGATCCGGACTTCGTTTTAGAACTGGGGCTAGACAGGAAGAGGAGGTGTGTTTAAACAAATTCTTACTTTGGCCAATCACATGAGGATTAACCCATTCAATGGACTCGCACGCAGCGCAAGGAGAAAGAACCTTCAGGTAAGTCCAATGTTCCTTCTCAGAACAAAAATGCCCTTGTAACAATGAGGCGCATAGAAGCCATGCATCTTCCTCCAATGCTTGTTTACAACCATATGAACCTCATTCTACTATACAGCATCCAGGAGCCATGGCAGCAATTTGCATTTTCCTGTTCCTTTTGGAAATAAATTGGGCTACAACATGCAGTATTTTTTGATTCTGTGTAGGAGCACTCAACATTCATTGTAGAATGACATTTGCCTCATGGTTAATGCCAAACCTTATAGATTATTTTTGGCAATGCCCCTAGTTGTTCACCATGGAGTACTTTAAAACCTAGAAGCTTATGGTCTTTAATTTACAGTCAGTCCATAATATAACTTTTTATATTCTCTACACTATTTTATATCTTTGATACCTCTGTGTCTTCTTTTATTGACTGTATTCCTTTCCTATGCCTTATGCTGGTCTATTTCAATAATAAACATTGATTTGAGTTGGTTTAATTTGACTAAAGGCAGAGGAGGGCTATGGTTTAAGAGGTAAGTGGATTACATTTTATGTGAAGCTGCATATTAAGAGAATAAGCAAGAAATAATTATATCTATTTTATACTAGGGTTTGTAATTCTTCCTCCCTTTCTGTGTATGCTTTTTGATAGCTTCTGTTGTTAATAGAAACCATTTCTATTGATGGGAAGAGGATGCTATATGAGAGTACATTTTTAGCAGACTTTTCCCATTAAGTAAATAAAACCTGTTGATTTACAAAAAACTGTCTATGTATTCATGCCTTTCAGGTTATTAATTTGAATCTCTGACATGAATATACAAGATATCTTTTTTACTTCTACATATTCAAACATGTTTGGCTTTGTGTAGATGTTTTTGTGCATGTGAGTTAAGATTGAAGAAAGAATATTATGTAGGATGTACAGCAGCTGGCATCTTTAGATTTGATAGCCTTGACCATTCATTTAAATTCTAAGATACAAAGCGTCTTTTTTTAAACAAAAATGGTAGGCATTTACATTGTCATATAAATCTTAGTTGGGTTCTGAATGAAATGTTTTAATTCTAGCTGCTCTCCAAGATTGCATCTCATTCTGTTTTATTTTTATAAAGGAAAGGTGCAGGTTCCTAGAATTTCAGTTAAATTTAGAGTGAACTGGAAGAGTCGTAGTTATAATTTCAATCAAATAAAGTTATTGTTGTCTTGGGGTATTGGTGGTGCTATCAGCTTAAAGGTATGTGCAGTGGAACATGGGAGATGTTTGGCCAGGATTTTTTTTCCTGGGTTAAAGGAAGAGAAGTCAGGACAGCTGAGTCAAACTGAAATGACAACCCTAGTGAATGGAGGATAACTATTTATTGTTTTCATAATTTCATCCACCCTGCCACAGAAAGTGCTTTGTTTACGAAGGCATGGTATTCCAAAGAAAGTAGCATGAGGCAAATCTCTCCATGTCTCCATAACTATTTTCAAGGTTGACTCAGCCTTCCATCCTTCCGAGGTGGATAAAAATGAGGACCCAAATTGTTGGGGGCAATATGCTGACTCTATAAACTGCCTAGAGAGGGCTGTAAAGCACTGTAAAGCAGTATATAAGTCTAAGTGTTGTTGCTATTTACAATCCAATTCATGTTCCTCTCACTATGGTTGTTCATATTTAGAAATACACCAAGAAAATCATGATTGTGAATGTCCTGCATCGTTGATTTTCCACTTATATAATAAATTTATAAAGATCGTGTTCACATTTAGCTTGATGAATGCTGGGAGTTGGTCCATACATCTTAAAGATGCCAAAGTTGAGAAACACTGCTGAGCCAATTACTAGGTTTTTTTTATTAGTGGTGGTAGGTAAAACAGAAGCAGTTCTTAAACAAAAGTCATTTGATTGCATGTTAGAGTGGGTGCAACACAAAGCTGTTAGTTATTATAAGTTATCTGAGATGGCGAAAAATAGGATAGCCAAGGAAGACTCCCTTTAAAAACAAGCTTAAATCCACTTATTTCAGAAAAAAACCATGCACCCCTTAACAACAGAATTAAGCCCAACAATGGAAGAATAAGCTTGTACTATTTACGAGATTGTAGGTACAATTTTTATATCACCGGAGCTTTACAGTCGGTACATCCAGACAGTCTGCTTGATAGAATTACATAGCATCCTAGTTATTACTCTCTCATGTTTCCCTACTTTTCTTTGTATAGAAGAAAGAAAGAGAAAGAAAGAAAGAAAGAAAAAGACAGAAAGAAAGAAAGAAAGAAAGAAAGAAAGAAAGAAAGAAAGAAAGAAAGGATGGAATAGCTCTGTATTGCATTTAATGGAACTCTCTACTAGAAGTACTCCTGTGAACTCTGTTGATAAAATACAAAAGTAAATATAAAGACATAATAAAGGCTGCTCTTAGTTTTCACGTGAAAATTATCCAAACTATATATATTGAATGTGAAAGAATTTGGGATATAGGATAGAGCTAAGTTTAAATGGAAAAATTCACTCTTAGCTATGTGTGGTTGGAGTTTGCATACATAAATGGCTAGAATCTTAGCTCTTATTCAAGACTTCGCTAATGCAACAGAAAATTACATGAATAGACAAGAATGAAGCTATTTGCAAGATTTGCCTATTGCTGCACATACAGTTCAAGGCCTATATATAAGTCTGGACTCCAGAATTTAAAATCTTAAGTTTTTTCATCTTGCATTTTCAAATCTGTGCATAGTTAAACTATTCCTTTGTTGACCTCGGAAGGCAGTGATCGGTGTTAATGTAACAATTTTGTCTACCCTGGAAATGGCTGTGTACAACTTCCCTACACTCCCCATACTAGCTTCTTCCCTAACACCCACTACTTTTCTTTCACATTTAGTTGTAAGCTGTTCTTGCAGTTTTAAATGAACTCCTTGTTTTGGTCTATTTACTGTCAATTGTGAGAAAGTAATCCTTTTTAATATGAAAACATTTTTTTCCAGTGTGACAAATTCAAGCAAGAAAGAGATGAAGTGGTCAAACAGCTGCAAGAACTGCATAAAGGTAAGGTTTAAATGAGCAAAAATCAGTTTAGTCTTTCCAGAGCTGCAACTATTTATGTTTAATGATCAGAGTTATTTTATGAGAAGTGGCAATATTTTTCTAGGTTTTTTTTTTTTTTTTTTTTGCAGTTCATATACTTTAAAATCTACTCCCAGCACCCAAAATTAATAATGTGCAGGAGACTCTGACTTTTAGACTCCACCTTAGGCATGAAAGCTGGCTATGTGAGACTGGCCAGTCGCTCTCTTTCTCACCTCAAAGGGTTGTTGTGTATGGAAAATAGGAGGAAGCAGGAATATTAGATATGTTTGCTGCTTTCAGTTATTTATGAAATAATGAAAGCGAGATAAAAATCAAATAAAAGCTTTTCCAATTTCCATTGGTGGCCTTTGCATATAGACTATTTTGGGTATTTATTTTCCATCACTTGCTTTTATATATATATAAAGTTGGACTACTGCTATTAGATTTAGATCTCCAGTTTGTGTAGTTACACCCTGTTTCAAAATTGTCATCATGCCTGCCTAAATATACCATAATTGGGAAGGAAGGAATGCTGACCATTACCAATGTGTTACGTATAGATTGTTTTATGTTGGAGGAGGCAGTCATCAAAGTCCACTGGGATGACAGCATAAGAAGTAGTATCCTTTATCTCAGGGTCCCCAACCCCTGGTCCATGGACCGGCACTGGGCCACAACATGCCAGAAACCGGGCCATGCAAACAAGCAAAGCTCCATCTGCAGGGTACAGGCAGAATGAGAAACCACGTCCCCTCCGCTCTGCAGAAAAACCTCTCTCTACAGAACTGGTCCCTGGTGCTCGAAAGGTTTGGGGATGCTCCTTTACCTTGTTCTGTTACTAGTTGGCCATCTATATGTGCCACTTCCAGATAGGCATCTGCCTATCCCAGGGCCACTGAGCTAGGATGAAAGATCCATTCTACTCCAAATTATTTTCTCATAGCAGAAAAAAAAATGAATAAAGCATTTCTTAAAATGCTTTTAGTTACATTCCTTCTTTCTTCCAGATTTATAATTGTCCCTTCTGCGGAGCTGATAGCACAGTTTTCAAAAATGTTCAAAATCCTTGTTTGTTAAGCTTAAGAGTCCTAGCCCAATTTGACCCAGCTGGAGTTGATCCAAAGCAAATAAGTTCAAAAAGGACTACAAAAAAATAAATACTACTACAGAAAAGAATGTAGCCAGCCAAAGTTCCTGTACACGTGTAAATGTTTGCAGAACATTTGTTCTCCCCACAGTGGATTTTATCTACAAACATTTGCCTCTTGTACACTTGTGAAAGATGGTAGTGGATTTCTGCATTAAAGTCAGATCTGTTTGTATCTGCAAAGTCAAACCATATACTAATACATTGTCTAAAATGTTTAAGACTGACCGAAAATCTGTCTGATGTTTTTACAGGGCACAGCTCATCTTCTTAAAGATCTGTTCATTTATTTGGCATTTTCTTTGGCATTTTTTTGCCAAGGAGTTAGTTCCATTTTGCTAACTTTCTAATCTCCCGTGACTCGCAATTGGCATAATTCATCTAACGTAATGCGTCTTTAAACTCCATTAGTCTGGATAGTATTTCTTTGCCTGAGAAGGAGTGATTTATTTCTAAAATACCTAGCATATACATTATACATACAGTTAATTAAAATTTATATATTACGGATTACAAGCATTTTATTTGTTTTTACTTTTGCTTTCTTGCATCCATTATCAGCTTAATGGCTTCCCTATTTTTAAAACATCCAGAGTTCTGCTCCAATAGCCAGAAAGACCATTTTTTTCTTGTTAGCAGAAACTAAAAGCTCCTTTTTTTTAAAATGGATGACATTTTTCTTTCAAGGGGTTATGATGAAAAGAAACCTTTGTCCTTTGCTTACCCTTTGCACCTATTTTGATACTTTTTGATATGCAGTTAGAGAGGAGAAGAAATCCCACCCATGTCTCCTATCAAAAAAGCCCTGTTTGCTTATGGATTGAAAGCCCAGGGTTGCAGACTTCCTGAGCTTCACTGTTCCCTTTTAAGTCTGGTGATACAAAAACCAGACATCACCAGATTTAAAATAGGTATGATGCTGACTTCCTCTGGCACAAGGGATAAACATGTGAACAACTCACCCATCTTGCGAAACACCCAGATTTTCCTCTTATGAGACAACACTTCTATTGATCCAGTGTGGGGGTCTGAGGGTAACAAAACACAGCTAATGGGAGTGGAAAAGCTCTTGTGAATAGCTTCTTGAGAACGATGACAACAGTATCACAGCCTGTTATGCTTCCTCTCTGTCAGTATAGTGTGTTTTGTTGGGTTAATAATCATTTAAAAAAAAAAAAAAAGCCTAAGCACCTTGCATCTAATGCAGAGTTGTCAAAGGAATTTATGCAGCTCTTGTTTACCCTAGTTTATATATAGGCCATTTATGAAATGCCTCCTTCAAAACGATCCTAAACTTAGGCTATCACCCTAAGCGGCAAATATTTTCTAATTATAAGCCAAATTCCTGTGAAAAGAAAGGGAATGAGTATCACATATAAAAATACACAAATACCTTATGGCCTATTTGTATTTGTTATGATATTGGCAATTCATAAAGCAGGCATAAAATGTCAAGTAGCTAAGACTTAAAATTCAAAAGTAGTATTTGCTTTTGTAAAATGTCATAGGTTTCTTTTATCTGCCTCTTCACTTTTTTTCCTGATTCTTTTTTTCCCCCCTACCTTCCTTAAAAAAAAAAAAGACATGTCTTGTAAACATGGCAATAAATGCCAGGAATATTAGGATTTTACAGCAATAATGGAGCCCATTATTTAAATGACAATATAAAAGGCAATTATATTGATGAAGAGCTACATGGGCTTTGTGTCTGTGAATAAACTTGGCCTGTGCTCAGCTTCTATTTGTTCTCTCGGCATAAACACATATTGTGCCTGATTCCTGTTTAATGGGGCCCAGTTTGTATGCCAAGCAGCTGCATTTTAGGCCCTATAGCGTGATTTCATAGCTCTCTGAAAATTGGTTCTATTCAGCACAAGAGATAGAAGGTGGTGGTAAGGGAGGGGGACGCTTCACCACACAATCATTTCTTTTCAATTGGAGCCAGAAAGGTTGATGACAACATGACCATTGTGTGATAATGATAAGACCACTAAGGATCTGTACTTCTCATCAAGGCTTTCACACAACAGCAGATACAATTTAATTCACTGCTCTGTCAGCAGTGCTGATACCATTATGCCGTCTGTCTCCACAGTTATAATCACTGTCCTCCGAGAAATGCAGTTGAAATGATCTTGAACAGTCAAAGAAACTCTCAATTAAGGCTGCCACTTCCAATGTGTCAGATTGTGTCTTATGCACTTGGTACAATTTTCACTTCCAATCCTGTTTATTTACAATGTCGGCCAGTAATTACGCTTAACGTGCCATTTAGTGAGGGTGCCCCTGCCAAGGAGATTGTTGGGTGCTGCAGTGCCATTGAGTGGGAGTTTCTTGCAGTCAATGCCATCAGCGGCTTTTAGTCCCTGATGGGATGCGGGAGTAATGTTGATAATGCAAGTATCACGCTCATCAAGTCATAATTAGATGCCACTCAAATGTGCCACTTGTAATAACAGTGTTGATTCATGTTTTCTCGGTGACTGCAACTACTAATTAGTTAAGTGGTTTTTGGTTGGCCTGCATTTGCTGCATATTATTATTACCCCTGAAAAAATGTTGAGGTTGGAGAGTGTTCTGGCCATTTAGTGTTGCTTTATGAATTTTAATATCAACCTGAGAAGAACTCGGGACATCTTAGAAACTAGCACCTTTTCTTTCTATTTCATTTTTAAAGATTTTTTTTCCTCTTTGGAAATTTAATCATAATTGCAGGTTAACTAATCTTAAATGAACCGTGAGTTATTTCTAGGAGATAGATATAGATATATCTATACACATACGCATACACACTCAGAACTTTCTTTTAAATTCTCAGCTAACTATGGGAAGTAACCATAAAGCCTTCTTGGATAAAAACAACTGTCTTCTTTTTGGTCATTGATTTATATGTAAGAACAGTATGTCATGTGAACAATAGTTTCTTGTTCTGTTTATAGAGTTTTTCATAATATTTATGTTGCATGTATGTGATACAGAAATAGCTAATTGTGATTTTGTTGCACATTTCCCCAGTGCATGTTTTACATGTACATATTTTATATGTATAATACAGTAGTCATAATAAAGCAGTTTATTTTCTGAGCATAAGCTATCACTTTATACTTTCAGTTCAGAGGTAGTAATTTCCTTTATGCCACTATGCAACTAAACTCATACAAGTTAATTACAATGACTTAATAGATTTTACTTCCAAGTAACTGTGTATTTGATTGCAGTCTGAAACAAGTTGGCTGGTAACTTATTTTTTTCTTGCAATATGTGGCACAGTCTACTTGGGGCATTTTTTTCGTGTTGTGTACACTCTTCTCATTTGCTGACAGTATCTCTGCATGGCATGCATTGCTTATTCCTGTTCTTGGCTCATGGCACACAGCAAAAATGGATGGCCTGGGCTGACCTAATAGAAGATAAGCCTCTTAAAGTATGGGTGCTAGTGCCAAATCTTTTGCCACTGTGTTTTTTGATTACACAATCCCAGCATAGAGAATTTCCTTGGCTAGTTTTGGTTTTACCTTTTCTACCCAAGACACAACTGCCATGTGGCAATGCTCCAGGCCTAGCTGAAGCACAACGCATCTCCTTGGGTTAAGTCTGTTTGCTTTCATCTCTGTCATGGTACAGTGCCAGAAGCTCACAGAACTCAAAGCATAAATAATAATTATGGAGCGTATCATTGTTCTCATGTTGCTTTTAAGGCGCAGTTTTCAGCACTACTCCATACCTATGGAGCTGTAAAGGACTTGATTTTGAACATAACAAACACATAGGCATTGCAACTTCCAATAGCCCAAGAACTTCCTTAGGCTTGATCTAGAACAGGGGTGTCAAACTCAAGGCCTGTGGGCTGGATCTGGCCTGCGGGGTGCTTAAATCTGGCCCATGGGGCCGGCCTCGAAATAGCAAAGGCCTGCAGTGCCTCTGGCAACCAAAACACCCCGTGCCCCGTTTTGGCCGGCAGGATGCTGCAGGAGGTATCCGTCCGATCTCCCTCTCCCCAGGACGGCCCACAGAGGAGAACTGCAATGCTGATCTGGCCCTTGAAGAAATCCAGTTTGATACCCCTGATCTAGAATATAAGGACTGCACTGTAAAATTGGGCAGAATCAGGATACATTTGGGCAGGGGGAAAATGATACAGTGGTTGTAAAGGGTGAAATTTAGTCTGCAGAAGACTAAACCTTTCTCCATTCCTCTTGCCCACATTTAAAAGCTATGTGATGCATTGAGGTTCCAAAAGAGATGCTAGCAGGCTACAATTGGTATTTGAGCTGCATTTTTGCATCCTTGGTGCAAGAACACTTCTTCCTAACAGAACAGTTTTCAAATAGTATAATCTGGGTCACAGTTTGGGGCAGGAAGATTGACCTGTAACTAGATGTTTGCCTGTTGAAATGTTTTACATTTAAGTTGGTAGCAATAGGATATAATCACTCCTAATTGTGTACAGGATTAATAAAGCATTCCAGTAGATCTAAATGGGGAGAAATTCCAAACAGATCTTTTGACAGATCTAAATTCTGCTCAGAATATTTAAATCTTAAGAGAATGAGGCATCTAGGAAATGGAGAACACTTTTCCACAGTGTTTCAATTGAGATAACTTTAATTGTAGAAATGGCTCTAGCCATTGACTCAATTGCTCCTAAGTGACCTCTTCCTGATAGAGGTTGGTCAGACTTCTAGATTAAGGAACAGTAGAGAATGATGAGACAGGAAAAACAGGAGCTAAATGAGTCAGTGGAAGAAATCTTGAAATAAAATAGACCAACATCTGGATTAACATCTTGGCAATTTGCTGTTTCTCTGCCACAAGTACATTGGTGTAAAATAAACTTGCGATCCCGCCCCCCATATTGTATATGGAATTGAAAGATTTTTTAAAAAGAAGTCAGTCTGGCAGCCCAAAACACTTAGTGACAATTTGAAAATAAAAGCCAAAGAGAGAGTTTTAACATTCTTCCCCAACTACACTACGGAGAAAGGCCAAATAGCAGAGTGAGATGTAGTTGGGGAAAAATGTTAAAAAGAACCAAAAATGTCTTCGTTAATATGTTCAAAAATAATAGAGAGACAAGAAAGAGTATACCAGCTAATAAAAAAGCAAGCAAGCAAGCAAGCAAACAAACAAGCAAACAAATAAATACAAAGAAATCAGAAACAGCCTGATGGCATCGGTACATTCTAACAAATTTTATCAAAAGACATATGCTTTTATGAGCAACAACTCACTTCATCAGATGCATGAAATGGGACATCAAGGTGTATCTTTGTAGGACTAGAGCACTGGGGAGGGTTTCCTCAGTGAGAATCAAGAATGCCGTTTCATAATCTTCCAAATGTATCATTTTATTATGTTTCATATGGTAGTGTCTGTGCTACATGAAAAGCAATTATATACATTCTAAAACATGTGGCAGTCCAAGAAATATTCATGAGCATAGGATGTTTTTCTGAATAACAATATATGGAGAAGGTTTGACTCATATTAAACTATATGAATCATGGGTTTTACCCTAATTCTCTAGTTTCTCATATGGTTATTGAAGAAGTCAGCTGTATACAAAACCACCTAGAGATTGAAAAGACATGTCGTGAAAGTGCAGAAGCTTTGGCTACTAAGGTAAGAAACAATTTTATATTTTACATTCTCTGTTCAGAAGTCACAGTCTTAGGGTAATCGGTTGGTCAGGACAGATTCACACAACAGCCTTGCCAATACCTTCTTGGCTGCTGTGCACTAGAGAAACTATGAGATTTACTTCAGAAAATGAGACTACAGTTCTGTCCAGAGTTATTTTGGGGTTACAGTCAGTAAACGCTTGTGCATTACTTGGCAGAAATCCTATTAAATTTTATGTGGGATTTCCTTCTGAATAAATATATAGTGTGGCATATTTACTCAGTGGGACAAAATATTGTCAGTATTGTCCCATTGTACATACAGAACTATCCAGTATCTTTTTCTTTTCAGTGTTGTTGGTTATACTCTTAGAGTTAGTGCATAATAAAATCCCTTCATGGAGAATAGTTTTATTATGTGTTAAGAGTTACATGTTCGAATGAAGCAGCCCTGAAATATGATGTTCATATTTGGGGATTGGAGAGAAATATAAGGACAATAGAAAAGTGTTATTTTACAAATATGTGCATATATATTCATAAATATTTTCGTAAATATATTCATATTTATATTCTTTGACACCTTCCTCCCACATGTATTTTATGCATCTGGGTTAACAGATAAACAGGTTTAGAAATATACTGAGTGTCTGTCACATAAAAGAATAATGAGCTTTTCAGGGTCTGAATCAAATGGAAAAGTCAGGCAGAGTATTACATTTCAGGTGATTGTTTATGAAAGCAAACTATGGAGCAAGCAAAAGGTGACCCGCAATGCTCTGTTGATTGCATCTAGGTTGATGAATTTGCCAAGTATATAATTTTCTATATTCCATCTCATCAGAAGTGCATTATTATTATTAAAGAATGTTTTTATCTCTTTGGTATTTTTTTTTAGTTGTGAAAAACACATACCAACCACTTCATCATCAGAAAATAGATTGAAGCAATTTTGAACCAAATTTCATTAGCAATGTTGACTGGTCCATGACTCCGTGTGTTGCGCTCTCTCTCTCTCTCTCTCTCTCTCTCTCTCTCTCTCTCTCTCTCTCTGTGTGTGTGTGTGTGCATGTGTGTGTGTATGTGTGTACATTTTTGAATTTTCTCTACTTCAGATAGAGCAGAAATTCCACAGTAGTATTTTTTAAAATGTAGATGCATTAATAGTGTACTTTGAATAGGTATTTACTTGATTGTTTGCATAATGATACTATATAAGGATTTATAAAATGAGAACTTATCAGTATGAACATGAATGCATAGATTTTTTCTTTCCATTCTTTTTATGTAATGATACATAGTAAAATAAGACAGTGGCACAATGCTATTTGGCTGGTGTAATAATGATCACTCTGTTGTGTGTATGTGTGTATAATAATAATAATAATAACTATATTAATACATTATTGGACAGCATGCACCAACATGCACCAGTCAAATCGATAAATAAATACATTAATACCTAATCGAACAGCATGTACCAATCTACTGCTTTAGTCCTGATGAGTGAGAATTTTAAAAATAGATAAACAAACTCTAGCTTTTCTTTGTATCGAAACTAATCCCCACTTCAACTCTGATAAATTGCACCAGTATCCAATAGGTCTCTTGAAGCAGTATGTTTCTTACATCCTCAAAATATTTATGATAATTCATGTAGTTTTGAAAAGAGAAGAGTAATATTTTTACTTTAGGATCTTTTCTTGGTCCTTGATTATTTCTTAGAAATAGAAGCTTCTGCCGTAGTTCTGCATTGTATAATACAAAATTATTCATGGAATGGGACAGAGATATTATTTTTGTATGTCATTCCAATTACTGACCTTCCTACCAAGTTTCAAGATCATTAGACATGCTTATATAAAGTGCAGTTGTTCCTTTTGCAGCTTCTGCTCTCACAGCTACTCTGATTTAAAGGTTAGGCAAATTAGTGTATAATGGAATCATTGCATTCTGATGGCATCAGATGCTGATATGCAAGATTTTGGATGTAGCATTCCCAATTTCTACTGTTTAATTTTTCATATTTAATTTTGAGCCTGTGTGTATATAAAATAGTACAAGTTATGAATAATCAAAGCTACCTTGAAACAATAACCTTTCATTAATGGAACTGGACATTCAAGGATAGAAATGAAAGATGCAAAGGGATTGGAGGGTATAGAAGTAAGTATGATGATTTGGCTTTGCTGTTGTCTGCTAGGTTTTATTGTGCTCCTCCCAGAATGGATTCTTTTTTGCGACTCTGTCTTTTACATCTTGCCTTGTTTTTTAAAAACTATTTTTTAAAAAATAAAATCTATAGCTGCTTTAATTAGTACTGTAAACTGTATTTAAAGCAAGAATTTGGCAAGGTTTCAAATGGCACAGAGGTAATATCTAATCTTAAGGCCTGCTCTTAGTTTGAAAAACTTGATGCCTGCATTTCTAACCTGCATTTTAAAAATGTTTTTGTTTCAGATCCAACAACAGCATAGTTCTTGTTGAAAAAGAATGTTGGCATTTATGTTCACCAACATATTTCATTTTGTAGTGAGCTGTGGCCGATGTGCTTCCAATTTTACAAGCAAGAGAAGCTGTCAGTTAATTTTTCTTTGGGATATTTTTCTCCCTGCAAAGCAATCATACGTTAGGCTCATTTACTTCATATGCTTGTTAACATAGCTTGGAAAATTAATAGTTTAAAAGTATGACTGTGTTTCTGAATGTTATTCCCAGAGTTTGAAATCTATTACTTTATGAAGAACTATTTATACTTTTAGCTATTGAGTATGAGTCAGAGCAAAAAAGGTTATTTTTTTTTATCAGACAGGCAGTGTTATTCCAAATTTACAAACTTGAATTGTTTATATGAATACTTTCTTCTTATGAACTGAGTTTCTATTGACACGACATGATGAAAAAAACCTTATCAATATTACTCTGAGTCACCAAGGTAATTAGAAATTGAGCTGTTGTTTGTATACATTATAAGGCTTTGTCCCTTTTCTTTTTCTTCCTTTTTGATTTTATAATTTATTTTTGTACCCCCTTTTTTATATTGAAGCAGAGAGCAAAAATCTTTATATTAAATTACCTGTTGCACCACCTCGGGAAAAGGATGAGAAAGTGGCTTGCTATGTGCAGCAGTAACTTAATCCATTAAAGTGCACAACTCACCAAACAAACTTGATGATCATGTATCATTGGATTCAATTAAATATTATAACTAAAAGCACTGGCCTACATTCAAAAGTTTCCGTCTGAGCTTAACCCTTAGAGTATAAAATTTAGAACTCTATGAATTCCCTCTAGAAAGCCACAGTATATTCATGGATGATTAAAGTCAGTGTGTTTCTTTACTGAAGGGAAGAGCTGTTGTGTACTTACTGGACCTTCAGAAATGCTTGAATTCTGGAGAGGGGCTAGAGTTCCCAGTTATAACAATATCGTGCCCTTCCTTCCCATATCCTTAGAAGTAGCAGCTAACAAGATATCCTAAAGGGGGAAAAAAAGGTTGACCTTATGAACCCATTTCTCTTGCAACTTAAACTGTAAAGTTATAAAATATTATAACGTTGCAAGTTAGTTCAAATCATTTCTCAGGAGCCATGATTTATGATTTATATATTATGGAGGTTCTGAATCTTGAATGAAGCCCTCAAAATTTCTATAAAAGTTTTGAATTATCATTTTTAATTCGATAGCAGAAAATATTAAATACATAAGTTATATAATTAATATGAAATTAATGGTAATTTAATTAAGCTTACATTTAAATTAAATAAATAACATTTAATTTTTTTAACAGCCTCACCCACATTGGGGAATCTTGGTCCTCAGTTGCAGCACAATAACCAGGTAGAACCTTAGCCTGAAAAACTGCCGATATCTGCTCTATTACATTGAAATTGATGTCTCAAGAAATGCCAGTCTTATTATATTTATATGACCCTTCGTCCTCTTCTCTTTTGCTGCTCATGCATCACTCAGTATAGACAGCATTAAAATATAACCACAAAGTAAAATAAGTCAGGGAAATAAATTGTATTAAATACTAAATGAAAGCCTTCTTAAATAAAGAGGTTTTATAGATCACAATTATTAACATGCCATGCTAGAAGGATAAGGAATTCCCTAATTTAATTGTGGCTAATGAAAAATCCATTAATTTTGTTCTCTTCAGCCAAACTCATTGGCGACTTTACGGGCATCTGACATGTTTATTTTTCCTTCAAAAGAAAAAAAAATTTAAGGAATTCATAGCAACAGAATATGTAATTGACATTTTGTAGCTGAGCAAAGAGAACAAGACGCTGAAAAGAATCAGCATGTTGTATATGGCAAAATTGGGGCCAGACATCATTACTGAAGAAATTAACATTGATGATGGAGAATCTTGTACGGACACAGAAGTTAGCCCTGGAGCCTGTGACTCAGTGGAGTGCCAGCAGGTAATAAAAGGTGAGTGCTTTTCTGAAGATTAGAGTGGGTTTTCATTTTCAAAAAGTGAACATGAAGATCCAGTTTCATTGTAACAGATACCCTTCCCTAATCTAATAGTTTCCAAATGTGTTGGATTTCAGTCCCTCTAATCCCTCATTAGAATAGCCAGATGCTTTGCTCTCTAAGAATAATGGCAAGTGAATTCCAATTCAGCTGAAAGCCAACAGAAAGATAAGGCTATTACACTGTGAGAAGTGTACTGTACATGTATCTTTTTATACCATTTATATGCATTGTAGCTGGCACTTATCAAGTGCACTTCTTTTTCTCATTGTAACATCAAAAAAAAATAATGATGAGAGATGTTGAAGTTGGCTTTTGTTTTTCAGTAGCCTCGTTGTCCATTAGTTAGCTCCAGTTCTTGGTTCAGGTCAGTTCAGATGTATAGAAGCTACTTGCTAATTTATGACAGAATTTACCTCACTCCCTTCTAAGAGTGGATTTCTATGGTGATGCCTTCCCATGTTTCTTGATTCCATATTATTTACCTTGGGATATAACGCGTAGGACTCAGGCACATCCACAGGGAATCACTAGGGGAATGATGAAACTGTGCCCCCTTTGTAATTGTGTCATGACATTCAGGCAAATACTTAACAGAGTTTGTTTCATCAAAATGTTGGAATGTGCATTTTTGTGCAATATTTGGATGAAGCCTCCAGCTTCTGCCGAAAGACATGGTGTAAGGAGTCAGACAAACCAACCTAAAAAAACTAGAACACTAAATAGATTTCTGAAGATGGAACCTCCCCATTCCTGATGCAGAGCCCTAATTAGTGGAAGTCCTATGTTGAAAGAGGACAGCAGCTTGCTTAGAGTAAGTGACAAGCTCACAAATCAAAACAAACCGTTCAGCACTAAACTTACTGTAAACAGAAGAGCAAGAACATAATAGGACTTACCAGTAGGACAGCAGAAGTTCAGATGCATTGTTTTGGACTGACTGACAAGTGTCTGGGTCACTATTTAATTCAGGAGAGGGAGGTTAAGCCATTGGAATTAGGTTAAATAGCATAGCATAATCTTTTGCAGTTAAGTTGTAGGCTTAAATTGAGTCAGTTTCCTGACCTAAACTAAACCTCATCCATAGACTCATAGTTTCAGATTCTGTACTGCTTTTGCAGGCCAGCCTTCCATAAAATGGGAATTATGATACTGAATCAAATAATGTATTTAATGAAGAAATTAATATACAGTTTATAGCATGCTATTCAGGAACTCTACGAAAACTCACACCCACTTCCTTTTCTTGCTTTTTTTTCTGCTATAAAATTGATGTTTATGAACAGTTTCTGATAATTCTGATTATACTGATTACTTTGAAACTAGTCCATTTTTTTTAAAGTTATAATTTTAAAATTACTTTTGGTTTTTCCCCCCTGCTCGTTTGAATTGTCTGGTTTGGGGGTTACATTGATTTTTAATTTTTTCCTGAAATGATTATATACTTTTATCCTAACTGTATATTGTTCAGGGTTGCGTGAACTGGGAGTATTTAAATCTTAATTACATTAAAATGTAGTACTTTAATATTATTTTGTAGTGCTAAATGGCACACAGCTGTTTATTTTTATGTGCCTTAATTTTGAATGCTAATCTCTCTAGGTAGTGATTTCTAGTTATGGTTTTTGGCTCCATCATTTAGAATGATGAAATAGGAAAGTAGAAAATGAGATGACAGCTATTACAATAGAACGGCTGAATAAGCAAATAATTTTTGTGTCTTCCTTAAAAAAGAAGCTTTCTCTAAAACTGAGAGATAACTTGTATAGCTGAGTTGAGAATCTTCCCTTTCAGAGTTGAAAATCTCCACAATGAAACTCCTCAAACACAGATTAAAGGGCTAGTTAACCATTACTGTTTGTGAGAACACCGACACGTGAAACCTCTGCATGCTTAATAATTCAAAAAACAGTGAATGCCTTTGCTCTTCAGCTTTTCTACACTTACCCTGTTCCTTTTTGTCTTAAAATGAAAAATGAACGGCCACTGCTGTTCTTGAAAATGAAGATCTGCGAGATCAAATTATCTCACTTCAAGAGGAGAAGAAGACTGCTGTCATCGAACTGGAAAACCTGAAGAGCACATTTGTAGAAGGAATAGCAGAAGTAAGTATTTTAGCTAGAGGGCTAAGAACCACTGTACAGGCAGCCTTCGACTTAGGACCACAACTACAGATTTTTCCATTGTAAGTCAGTGAGGTTGCAAAGTGAGTCGTCATGTGACCAGATGCGATTTTATGACTATTTTTAATGTGGTTATTAAGTGGATCCATCTTCCCTAATTGGCAGTTTTTTGTCAGAAAATATCTAAGAAGTTTAGAAATTACAGTCACATGACTTCAAAAGACTGCAATCGGCTGTAAATGCAAGCTGGTTGCCAAGTGCTCGGATTGTGATTATATGACTGAAGGGATGATGTGATGGTTGTAAGCGCGAGGACAGGTTTTAAATGCTTTTTCCAAGGTCATTGTAAACTTTGTAAACATTGTTAAATGAACATTTATAAATTGAGGACTACCTATGCATGGTCAGGGTGTTGCTACCTGGTTGTTTGTTATTTATTTATTAATCAAATTTATGTAGTCGTCCATCTCATGAAAAGTGATCCACTATATAAGCGAACAGATTATTCTCAGTTGCTGAGATTGGAAGCTGTGATTTTTATGGTAGATATTATGCTAGTCAAAGCTAGAGCAAGAATTTTAAACTATACATCTTAATAATATCCTGTCCCTTTGTAAGCTGTCTTGCTAGCTAAATCTTAATTCTTCATAAGCAAGGGTTTTCTCTGCATGAGCTGCAAAGTATTTAATTGCTACCTCTCAAGGCAGGTTCCATTTAATGTAGCATTTAAAGCATTCTAGCTGTTTTAATACCATTTGGCTATAACCTTGACCAAAGATGTTAGGAAGTAAATGGGGAAAGGTTGTTTCAGATTGCTTCTTTAGCTGGAAATCCAACAGTTGTTTGCTACTTGGTACAGAAACTAATACATCAGTGAAATAACGAAGAATATTGGTACACTCCCTGGTTGCTGTTATTCACTTAAAATTGATAATTGGATTGGAAGCTTGATAGATTTAAAGAAAACTTCTTGAATGTTCATAGCATCATTATTAGTGTTTAAGTTTCTCTGATAATCTCATTATTTGGCTCATCTGTTTTTCAGATAAATAAACTAAAGGAACAAAATGCAGTCCTAGCATCGGAAGTTCACAACCATCACAAGTTGTTGGAAAAATGTAATCGAAGTACGTATGTATGCTTCTCTAGAACGCTTAATGGTAATACTTTAATACCTAATGTTGTTGCATTGATGAGTAGACAGATGGACAGATGGATAACTGACGTAACAGAGATCCAGAGCAGGGACAGATCTCTGAATCTACTAGATCTACAGATTCTACTAGCCAGAGATATCTTAGGCTTTTAATGGAAATTCTATCAATATGTGTACCTGTGAATAATTAATAAAATTTAGATGTATTTATTGTAAATTTCCACACACCTGTTATCTGATCTTAGAAGCTAAGAGATGACCACTTATCAGATTTTGATCCACTTGATGAGAATTTCTAGATCTATGTCTGAGACAAGGATTAGAGTACAATAAGTTACTGCCACATTCTTGTGGATATTGTAATAAGCATTGTAACTATAAAACTTGACCAATCATCCTTAAATTATAGAGAATGTATAAGAGGTTAATCAGAATCAGCCAGAAAATCCAGGCAAATTCTCACCAGATCTAATTTATCTTAACTAGAAAATGAAAACTGAAAGATGAAAATGAAAGATGCACTTTCATATGTTTAAAATTGTTAACTTGGTATAGTAAATTGGTGCAGGGACATGCCTTGAGATAAAAGCTGTTCTTGGTTGGAGGTGTAATAATCACTTTCCAGAAAGCACTGCCTCTCTTTGCAATTCTACCGATCCTCAAACAATCTTACCAGTATAGTACTCAATTTAATAATGCGTATGTTCACACAATACACTTAGCCATATTTATTATAAACATGGGAGCACAATTTTCAAGATTGATGCAACATACCAAACTGTAAACTAATTTCTTGGCATAATTTTGCACACATGGCTAAACTAAAAAGTAATTTCTTTAAGAATGGTTCAAAACTACAGTAGCCTTAATAAAAGTGATTTATGACATGTCCCTGAATTTATGACTGTCACACCACTCCCAGGGTCATGTTATACCAATTCAGGCACTTGGCAACCAGCTCTCATTTTATGACCAGTTGTAGCATCTTGCGGTCACATGGTTGTGACTTGTGACCTTCCTAGCCGGGTTCTGACAAACAATATCAGCTGGGAAAGTCAAACTTGTTTAATGGCCGTGTGATTTTCTTAATTACCACAGGATTTTTTTTTAAAACTACCACAGTAAAAATATCCATAAAATCGAGTCTGGTCATGTGATGGCTTGCTAACAATAGCATCTCTTAGTGACTGAAAATCCAGTCCAAATGGTGGTTGTAAGTTGAAGGCTATCTGTATTGGGTAATCACAAGATATTATCAAACCGATGAAGGCTGGTGTACCTTTATACAAGCAAGCAAGAATAGGGATAGAAATGTAAAGAGTATAGTCTTAATGAACTCTTCTATGACCAATAGAAACCAAGGTCCAGAAGGATTTGCATTGCTGACCAGCGTATATGCTTTTACCCCCTCTAACATTCCAATGATTTCCAGTTGTGAATTTAGCATTTGGGAATAATGGCAAGATTGTTCGTTTTTCTCCATACCTGTTCATAAATCTTTGGCAACAATGCAATTGATTTAGATAGAACTGTATCTGAGGAACTCTTGGCTACCTTGTGTATTTGTTCAGGTATACTTCTAAAATGAACTGTATTATTGCACTATTTGCCAGTGGTGAAATCCAATTTTTTTTACTACTGGTTCTGTGGGCGTGGCTTGGTAGGCGGGGTGTGGCTTGGTGGGCCTGGCAGGGAAGGATACTGCAAAATCTCCATTCCCACCCCACTCCAGGGGAGGGATATTGCACAATCTCCATTCCCACACGACTCTGGGGCCAGCCAGAGGTGGTATTCAAAATTTCCGCTACTGGTTCTCCGAACTGCTCAAAATTTCTGCTACCAGTTCTCCAGAACCTGTTAGAACCTGTTGGATTTCACCCCTGCTATTTGCGTGGCAAGACAGTATAAAATATAATAATGTCAATTTATAAAGTTCCTCTGATTGCCTGGAAGAAACTTTTTAGCACTACAAATGTTTCTATATACCCATATTACACTTCCAATTTTATGTGGGAGAAGACCCGAATAACCAAAGACCTACATACAAACACCCGCGAAAACCTGAGAAAACAAATACCCATATTAGATCGTATACCATGTATACTATAATCACATAGGTTTATCTTTATCATTTCTTGTGACTGCATGGAATTTGCTGCCACATGTTAGACTGAGGAAACAGTCATGTTCTAGACCCTGAAGTATGCACACATATAGGAGCTGTAAGAATCTAAGACAGACAAATCGTTACTCTCTATCAGAACTTACTCAAGAAATGTAAGAATCAAAACAAGAAACATCAGGATGACTTAGTTTACTAATTGCTACTTGATTCCTTTGAAGACCTTGATATATTTATAACCTTGGCAGTTGGATCATAAAATATTCTATTCCCCATTCAATAATCCGATCAATACTTATTTATAACTGAAGTGGGAAATATAATCTGAATTCTATGATGACTAGTATTCAGGTTACTGAATGATAGTTAATGCTTTAACTAAAACCGTATACAGATTAACTCACTAGGCTTAAATAAGATTGTTAACATTTAATGATTTTGGAAGAATTATAATGCCAAAGTATTCAGAATCAATAGCATATGCCATTATTTTGCATACATGAGCCGCAGTGACACAGTGGTTAGAGTGCAGTACTGCAAGCTACTTTTGCTGACTGCCAGCTGCCTGCAATTTAGCAATTCAAATCTCACCAGGCTCAAGGTTGACTCAGCCTTCCATCCTTCCGAGGTGGGTAAAATGAGGACCCAAATTGTTGCTGACTCTAAATTGCTTAGAGAGGGCTGTAAAGTGGTATATAAGTCTAAGTGCTATTGCTATTACTACTTCATGATAAATCCAAGAGACTTTATACTTCCAATTAAAAAGAGAAATAAAAGGTAAGTCTCCTGGGCAATCATGTATACAGGGCCCTAATCTTTCACAAATATTTCATTTCAACATAGTGGATAACACTTTGTTGAGTCTGTGGGAATTGAAAGGTTGGGTTCCAGAGCCTTCTTCCTACGAGTACTTTCTCCTTCTTCCTCCCGCATGATCACCTGTGCAATGCACCTGTATTTATCCCTCCTTCTCTTTTCTGATCATGCTGGGTCAGCCTAGTCATGAGATTCCTTGTGGCAGTAGGCCTTTTTCTTTGCAGTGAGCCATGAATGCTTCTCACGCAGGACTAGTACCTAGAGATACAGTCGAGAAGCCCCCTTTCTCTCTGCTCCCATACAGAATGGAGAAGCTAGTATGAGCTATTTGATATGAGTGGGATAAATCTTTCCATCTTTAGCTGAGTCAGCCTCACAACTGGGTTGAACTGGCAAGTTCCAATGTAACATTAGGATACATTGTGTAGTTTTTTTTGACCTGGCAACAGTGACAGGTTGATCACTATTAGTTGTCACTGGCAATAGTGACAACTTTGATCACAAGATCAAAGTTTGTTGTGAGATCCTTTCTTCCAGATACTGTAAACAGACCATTGTGATATTTTAGGAAGGAGGTTATGTGGATGAGCCAAGAAATGGCCACTTCTTTTATTGTTATAAATATCTGTTGTTAGAGGCCTCTGACATCACTGGACCAAGTCATCAAACTTCTGTCTAATTTGCCATGGAATGTAAAGTGTTTTTCACTTTACCTTAAAGAAACTTGTTTCTACAGTCATTTTTCTACATCATTTTTCAGTCTCGCTTTCTAACCTTGAAGGGAGCAGTTTGCGGGCAGTCAACGATTGTCCCTCCTTCCTTCTAGCAGGACAAGTACACCTCCCATTCCACTTTAGTTCATATGTCTAATTACTTATATAATTAATTACAACATTTCAAACACTGTAGTAGAAAAGAAGAAAATATCTTCCTTACAGCCATATTGCTACACTTTAAATAATCTTGTTTCATGGCATGTTTCATGGTTGTGTTTTGTTTCACCACCACTGCTACAACTGCCCTTCCTCCTTCTTCCCCTCCTTTTCATTTCACATAGTGTCTGTACTAGCAGTAGACGAGTATGAAGAACTCCAAGACAACTTTGAGCTGGAAAAAAACCTACGGAAGAGGGCAGAAAACTTTGCACAAGAGGTATGGAAGTTAATAGCTTTTTCTGATCAGAGAACGGACCATAGCAAGCATTTTTTTTAAAATGTTCTGAAGAAACAATGGCTTTTTTCAATTCCAGCTCTTTTCTCTTTAGTTCTCTGCTTTATAAATGGATACTTTATACAGGCTATGTGACAGTGTAAAGATGGATTTAATAATAAGATAATAAAAAACATGCTGCGAAGTTCTCTTCAGATGAAAACTCTTCAGTTCTGCAGTAAATGGGTGTTTATTGTTCTGATGCTTACTTGGGGAGTTTCTATCTATATTTGACCTTGACCATATTTCTCTGACTTTTTGGTGGAGATATTTTATCCAGTGTACAATATCCAGCTTCTTGTGATGAATGCCAATGTTTTAATGTCAAATGTATTGTCTGCCCGTGTATGAGTCTTCTTTTTAGACTGACAGGGCTCATACCAAAATTGCATATGTGGCATATACTGTATTACATTGAGATTAACTCTCCTACCCATAAATTAACTTCTTTTCTTCTCCATGAGATGGGGTTTTTTATCATTAATCAGTGTACATTCTCAAAAAGACTGGTATGCAAGCAAATAAGCACCATATCCCCTCACTTGATCATTAATTATGTACAATAATTTATATAAAAATTGAAATATCAGTGTTTATTGTGCCACAAAGTTTGAAGTAGTTTACGATACTCTAATAATCTATAACGTTAATGTTGTGATAGATGGATATGGGGTACATCCTTTTGTACTTCTTGTTTCTCTAAGGACCTAGAAAGGCTGTTTTATCCTGTTGAAAGATTTTGTTTTCTCATGATTCAGGTGGAATGTGTTCAGGTGGAATCAGTTTCAAAGAGGATTTATTCTGTGGATTACATCATTAAGAAATAAATCAGCAATGTTGACATAATCAGGTTTTGCTTCTGGGTGGGTTGAATTTAAATAATTCATCAGCTGATTTAAACATTTAGAAACCCTCCAGTATTTCATTATTCCTGTAAATTATTTGGAAAATAAATATCCAGTGGAAAATAGATCTGTTTATAAAATTAAGAACTATTTTTTTTTTATTTGATTTATATGCCGCCCTTCTCCGGAGACTCAGGGCAGCTTACAATGCATTAAGCAATAGCCTTCATACTTTTGTATATTTTATACAAAGTCAGCTTATTGACCCCACAATCTGGGTCCTCATTTTACCTACCTTAGAAAAGAGGGAAGGCTGAGTCAACCTTGAGCCTGGTGAGATTTGAACTTGCAGTAATTGCAGGCAGTTGATGTTAATAACAGTGCTTTAGTCTACTGCGCTACCAGGGTTCTCTTTTGACCATAACATATCACGGAAAAGCAGCAATTCATTAATACCGTGATCATGGTTTATGATGTTGTCTCATAGAAGGTTTAAGACAACCTTGAAGCCTTGTTCACTCCTGATCAGTAAAAGTCTGTTAAAGTTACTAGAGATAACAACATATCTATTTTAACCTTAATTTTTTAAAAAAATTACTTTTACTTTGAACAATCTTAATTTTTAGTCCATTATGTTCTAGAACTTGATTTGTTTTCGTTTTTTCTTTCTCTTCTCATAAAATTCTTCACAGCTCTTTTGTAAATCCACCACAGAAAAATTATCCAGATCATACTTTTGATTTTCTTATTTATATATCCCTTTTGATTATTAAGACATCAGCGGTTTTATTTGTATGTCCAATATAGCATCTCTTTCCATATCATTCATGTAGCCTATTATTTTTAAATCCACTTTCAAATCAGTCTCAATCTTGCCTGATAATGCTTATTCTCTTCCGAAGCATCTTTTAAACACAGTCATAGAATGGCAGATTCCTAAAATTAATTCTTGGTCTATTGTTCTAAAATATATTTTAATAATATAGTTTGCTCCATTCTATATTAGTGAATCAAGTGTAAATATTCTCCTTTAATTGTAATTTTTAGTTCCTCTTGGTTCCCTCTAGTGTTCAACCTCAAAGTTTCATCCTGTTGTGTTTTTTAAAGAGAATTCGAAACAAAAGTATTTTCCCATGGAAGAATTCTTATAATTAATTCCAAAATAATTTTAAAAAATCTTTATGGACTCTTAATCTGTAACTTTCCAAAATCAAGTTTCTAATTACCCTTTTACTGTTTATTCCAAGAGAAAACAATTGTCCTTGAACTTTTATTTAAAACTTCTTTCACTAAGGATTGAAGGAAACTCACCCATTGCTGTACAACCTATTGATCCAAAGATTCCTAATAGCTGAAAAGCAGTTAATAAGCCATTTCTGAAAGTCGGTACAAAAGGAAGTTTGCAAACCTTTTCAAAGGCGCTGGCCATAGTTTGAGCAAAAAGTTAACTACACTCTCAGCTCCCAGACCTCCAAACTGCTGGTCTTTTGGTCTCCTCATGACGAGCACTTTGACAATCACAAGTCCTCTCCTTGTCCAGAGAGAAATTACAAAGAGCCATTTCTTCATTCCACCACAGCCACCTCTATTTTTTCCTCATAAATCCTAGTTATCCTTATTTTCTCTTCCCTCAGCTCCTCATAATGCAAAGGACTTGACTGAATGATGATTATATTGGGAACATTAAGTGATAATCATACCATGGTGTTAATAATTCTCATTCTAAGCCATGATTTTTTCAGAATGTGAAATGTGCTATGACATCAAAACTCAAGCTCCATCCGTTACATACAAAAAAGGGTAGAGTTTGTGTCATTTTGTATTTCATAATTTGTCTTCCCTGGCGTGTCAACACAGGCAATGAGTTCCAGAGCCTTTGAAATACAGAATTGTTCTTTTTAAAATAATATATAATTTTATTGGAACTTTTAAAAAGAAGGGACATCTAATCCTCAATTGATCCTCACCCAGAAGCAGAAATACATTATTATTCAAGCCTGTGAGAGTGTCCACAGTTCACTGACTTTGTTTTATATTTATGATAAAACTATCTATTTTTAACATGCTTGTTTTGGGGGGCTTAGAAATAATAAATTCTGGCATCCATGTGAACTCCATTTTAACAGTGATGAAGAGAAAAAATATCCTATTTGTGAAAAAAACACTGTTCGCAAAATGTGTTGATGGTTGTATACAATGGCATATCCTGGCATCGTAACTTTTTTTAATGTGTAGGAAAAAAATGTGTCCTACATGATTTTATAGTCCAGTGATGGCAAACCTTTTCGGTACTGAGTGCCCAAACCAGAACATATGCGTGTGCGCTGGAGCGCCCGAAACCTGAAGACCAGCTGGCCGGTGCACATGTGCATGCCGACCAGCTCGTGTTCATGTTTCCGGCATGCGCACTGTCCAGCTGTTCTTCGGGTTTCCAGCACTCCGGCGCATGCAAAGACCAGCTGGCCAGCACGCATGCACACACTGGAAACCAGAAGAACAGATGGCAATGGCACGTGTGCCCACCTCACCATCACGGGTATTATCTAAAATAATAAGGACAGGGATGAAATCTGACACTGGAAGTAGAAAGGAGAAGATAGAAAGAATTTGCTTCCTTTCTTATCATTTAATTCAATTTTTCTCTGTAACAAGAAAGATTCCATATGTACGATGTAAATAATAGAGTTAGTTTTAAACTATAGTGACTATCTTTAACTTGGTTACTTACAGTGCCCTTTTCATTATAGGTTCCTTAGTAAATACTTGGCAGACACTGTGTTTAAAATCCTTACAGTGAACATTTACATGCAGAAAGCTCAAATGCTGTTATCTGCTTTTTGTAATTGTAAAGAAAAATGCTTATAATCCAGACAGCCATGACCTTCTTGTATAGGAATTTTGCTCCTTTCATAATAAGATTGCATATTATTGATTCAGACATATCAATGCACTGTATTAATAATAAGCTTCACAATAACTCTTCATTTAGATGCATTAATGGTTTTTAAGTTACTTTATAATAGCTGGTCCATTAATATGTAATATCTTTCTAAATGGACTGAAAAACCTGCACTTACAGAAAGGTTCTTATGTGTAGACTAATCTATATTGGAAAAAAAATGAAAAACACCTGCTACACAGTATAACCATAATTAATATAACATTCCATAGTTTCAACTGTCATATGCAGGAATCAATAAGCTTAGGGTACGAGTGTGTTTATCTTTAGAAATTTGAATCTATCACCTGCCAAACATAATGGGAAATTTAACTTATCAGAGAAAAAGGCCAAGGTAGATATCAGGAGTAAAGCATTCTAATATTTTTAACTATTTTCAGGGAAACCGATGTAATATGTTATATGTTTCACTTATTCTGTAACCTATTCTAATTCAAATAGGATAATTTTCTGATGGTCTTTCATTCAACTACTAACTAGTACTAACCAGTCTGACCTTGTTTAGCTTTTCAGAATCAAGAAAGATCAGCTAGATAGAGGAATCTGCATTACATAGCAAGAATCTCTCTCTTCAGTAAATAATTACGGTAAATTGCTGATATCAGGAAATCCTGAAGAAAATGAGCATAGATTTGTGGGTTAAATGCTTTGTGTAGAAACTCCAGGCATTTTTTTTTTTGAAGAGTTCCTGAAAGAGTTCCTGTCACCTCTCCTCTCCCCTCCTCTCCTCCCTTCTCCTATCCTCTCCCCTCCCCTCCCCCTCCCTATTTAAAATCAGATTTAGTTTTGCTTCAGTTACATTGCCCTCTAAGAATGTGCAAGCAGAAAAGCAGGCTGTGCTTCCGCTTGGAGTTCACCCAAATCTAAGCAATTGGTATGGTCTGTGTGACCACAATGAAGTATCTGTTAGGTAGAATAGTATAGGAATCAAAATCTATTACTCACTTCTGTCTCTTTCCCCATCTAGAAACAGGAGATTGGAAAGTAATAGGGAGCATTTTTCAAAGCAATACATAGATTTTTTTTTCCAGTAAATAAATACATATACAAGTATCTGATTTTGGATTTTGTTAATGACATAATATTGAAGGATGGTATGAATCAGCCAGCCTGCTGTGACTGTTATTTTATCTGGTAAATAAACAACACGGGACCATAAATAATGGGCATTTTATTTCTGAGGCAGTAATTTTAAAATGTGTCTCTTCTTTAACCATTTTCTGGATCAATTTTCAGCAATTTAGAAATAATAATAATTATTTGTTGAGTAAAGCATTGGACTATATATGCAATTGCTCCTCTCAGACCAGGGAAGCTGTTAAAAAACAAAAGATCTTAATACATAGCAGATAATAGTTTTACAGCATATATATAATCTTTGTTTGTTTGTTTATTTGACTTCTATGCTGTCTATCTTAAAGACTACGAGACTTACAGTCAAATAATTAAATACCATATAAACATTAAAATCTTAAACAGTGAATAAGAATCATATAGTTAAAAATTCAGATAACATTTGTTTAACTGTTGTGGTCCGTGGTGGCCTGTCGGACAGTGAGGAGGCTAGGGAGAAACATGGGCCAATCCTGAAGTCTGGGGAAGGCTCGGTCGAGGGCTCTGCGTCGGAGGCAGAGATGGGGCCAGGGCCATCTGGGAGTTATGTGCAGACTCCAGAGCCTCCAGAGTCGGACATCAGTGAGGCAGAGGAACAGGAGGAGCCTGTTCCCAGTGTGCGCATGTACAGAACTGCCAGAAGGCAAGAATAGTTAAAACAAAAGGGACGACTTGGGAGTAGGGCTTGGAGATGATTGACCCCTCCCATAAGACATAAAGGAGGAGCAAAGGCACATGGGCCTTTGCAGGAAGCAACTGTTGTTCGTGCTAGCCGGTTTCAAGACTGCAGCTCTGTGTTGATTCTGTATTCCGTGTGGCCTTGCAAAGTTAATTGCCAATTAGGTCTTGGCAGCGTGTCAAGGGAGATAAAGGTGGGTGTTTATCAACCTTATCCCAAAGAACTGTAGCAGACTTCTGTTGGACTCTACAATTATTTGGGACTCATCTCTGAATGAACAGATTGAGAATGAACAGGCTTTGAATGAGCAGAATTCACAGCCGTTGAAATAAAAAGAGGGTTTTTGGGACTCTTTTACTGTATCAGGAAGCTTAGGTCAGAACATTAACCACAAAGAAGAGAAAGAGAGCATGCCTCTTCTGCAGCATAGGTGGGATAGTCTAATTCCATCGGGATGAGCTGGTCCCTCAGATTAAGTATAATTGCTTTACTTTCTGATAATTTATAATAAATTTATATTGTCTTAACACATTGTTCATTAACAAGGTATATATGAAACTACATTAAGTGAAACCAACATTTTGTTGTTGTAAGATTTCTTAAATATGCAGGCAACATCTTTTGGATGTAAACAATTTGAAGTCCTACACCCTGAAACCCAATTTATCTTACAGAGAAAGATGAAATCAAATCATATATTTGATTGTCCGAAGTCCTTTCTGTGTACCTTGGTATCCAATATCCTAACACACTTATCGAATAATTTCTACATGTTCTGAATTTTGTTAAGTACTTTGCATAATTGAAGGTCTACTTCTTTGAAACTTTTTAATTCCTTCACCTAGTATTTCAGTGTTTCCATATAATATATCCCACTGACAACTCAATGCAACAAATGGAAGAAAACTAAGTGCATTTTCTATTCTTGTGCTATTTTAGGGATTGTCTCCACTCCATATTTTATTTGGTCACTTGAGATATTTTCAAAGCAGTCGATGAATTATAGAAGCGGTCTTCTGATATCTGACATATCTGGACTTCTAGGTTGTTCTAAAAGGAAACTGATGTTTCTGTGCAGTCTGCTCAGGTAAATGCAGTTTATTAAATAATCTGATTGACATTTTGTGTGGTTGTGTTTGATAGATGTTTATTGAACAAAATAAGTTGAAACGGCAAAGTCAGTTGCTGCAACAAAACTCAACCCCTGATGAGCAGCTTTCAAAAGCTCTAGATGAAAATGCCAAACTGACTCAAACACTGGAGGAAGAGAGATTGCAACACCAGCAGAAGGTAAGAAGCCTGCTCCCACCTTGGACATTTACTATTTTAGTTTCAGTGCAGTACATCTCCAGCTGATATGTTGGATTAGGCTGAACGCATCTTTCACAGGTAAAATGTTACTAACAAAGCTGAGTGTTTGTTATAGGTAAAAAAAAAGATACATAATTAAGGTTAAGGATCAAATTTTATGTTGTTTTGGAATTCAAGTATTTCTTCATCAGGTCTTCACAATATGTAAATGAGTTAAGCTTGCTCACAATAATGTATGTAAATGAGTCAAGCTTGCTTACTGTAAACATGGCCTTCCATGAACTGAGTAAACCTCTTGCTTTAAAAGCTAGTATGCTGTATATATGGCAGGACATAATCCCAGGGTATACGCTTATCAAGAGTGCAGCCATACTGTTTAAGGTATTTGCAAAACCATTTTTTGGTTCAGAAGGGAGGTTATTTAATTTGAACACTATCTTAAACTGACGAATCAGATTTTACTAAATAAAGAAGCATGCCAGGTGGACTAGTGTCCTGGTCAGTCTGTACATCAGATGCTTAAAACCACCTCCTATTCAGATGCTCAATTCAAGTTTAAATTGTCATATACTTGGACTATATTCTAAAAATGAATCATTTAACAACTCAAGGAAATTAACATGCTTTAATATAAAACTAGGAACTTGCTGCCTATAGTCACTATGCATAGCAAATTAAAATGTCAGACTCTTGGTGTCTGCTTAAAATGGAAAACTATTCTTTTCTGATCATATCCCATAGTCTCTTTAGCAAGATTTCTTGAGAAAAAAAAAGAATTCTAGCATCTGAACTATTTTCTCTGAAAAGCAACTACAGTATATTCCCCAAAGTACATTAAGGTGGAGCCTTCATCCTTTTCTTTTATTAAATTTGCTTTCTGTAAACTGGCAGATCTTTTCACTAATAAGAAAAAAATCTTTCCAAGTGATGTTTACATCTTAAATCTTTACCACTCTGGAAACTTACTATTACATAAAGCTGCACAATAGATGTTAGCTAGTACTTTCCAAACAGTTCCAAATTATAATGCTTTATTTAAATCAAATAATGTTTTTAAAGAATAATATATTGGGTTGTCTTTCCAAACTGCATGCAATTTGACTTTTTCTTCCTCTCTTGAAGTTTTGTTCCTTGCCAACAAATCCCTAGAGAACTTTGAGATCTGGGCCATGTTTGGGAGAACCAAGATGTAGTGGTGGAAGACAAAATAATCTTGACTATTTCACTGATGAAATTAAAAATCATATAAATGATTTTGAATAAATGGCATACATGGACACACTGATTTCAAGGATATTCCCTTAATATTAACTATTACACAATAAAATTTAAAACGATTAAATTCTGTGTCAAAAATTAAATAATTGGGTTTTGAGGAACGTTTAGTTCAGTGGTAATCCTGTCATTCATATGTTAGATATTCATTGTGATTTTATATTTGTCAATATTAGATTAAAGAATTGGAAGAACAATTATGTAATGAAGTTTTGCACAAGGAAATCAAGTCCCTTAAACAACAACTAGAACTTCTAGAAGAAGAAAAAAAAGAATTAGAGGAAAAGTGTCAGAGTGCTGAAGAACAAATTAAAAACTTAAAGCATTTAGGTAAGCTAAATAAATAAATAATTTTAGATATTTAAAACATCATATTGATGATGTTCTAAATATTATTAACATATTCTTAACAGAATTTAGCTATTTGTCCATAGCATTAATTTACCTTGTTATTTCCTAAAAAGCAGTCTTCAATGTAATGGTGGTTGTTAGGCTACATTTGCAGCCAAAACATCAAGACTCTTCACTAAATGAAGAGCAATGTTGGTACATTGCTGTTATTTAACCAGATTGAGTTAATTGCATTTTGCTCCCATTGAAATCAATGATATTTACCGTCGATTACATATGATCAACTCCTTTAGTTTTAGTGGAACGGAAGTAAAATTTGCCTGGTTTTGAATTGGATATGTTTTGACATATAATTGTGATTTATTATAGCATCCAGTGAAAAAGAAAACTTCTGTAGTACCTGACTAGGAACACTTCAGAAGTGAAAGCCATGAAGAGGTTTAAAAAGTATAAAATAATATTTGTCCTTGGAAATTATGAATATATATTTTTTTAAAAAAAATATTTAGAACTTCACAGTTAGTTGGAAAGCATGGATGTGAAGGTTTTGTTCCCCCCTGTTGTTTTATGAGCCTTCATATGATTGACATTTAAAAAAATAAATGCTTTGTCAAAGGCTATGCAGAAGAAATTAACTTTGCAACTCCCATGGGTGTTAATGGCTAAAATCCATGGGAACTGTGTAGCTAATTCCCTGCACTTCAGGCTAAACATTTACCCCTCACTATCTAACTGTTGAAGCTGTCTGACTTGCTGGCTATTATTTGTCCAGTTTATAGGCTAAAACAAGACAGCAGAAGCACTGACAAAACCACTTAAAATACATACAGTATGAATCAACTACTGTGATTTAGTTGTTACCAAAGAATTATTTACCAGGATGGTGCCTGACCAGCTTACAGCATCGTACCTATTAAGTGCTAAAAACTGTAATTTACTACTCTTTATCTAAGATTGCCATTTCTTAATAAATTCAAAATACAGTTACCAGCAGGGGAAGTACTGTTTAACTATCCTAAAGCAGCTGGATTATGTGGATGGAAAATGTCAAAAGAAAAACATACAAATGCCTTTGTGCAAGGTCCTAAAACTCTAGTGATGTGTGTTAAATTAATCGCAGGCTAGTAAGGTTACTGGAAAACCTATGGAAATTTCTAAGGAGACTCGCCCAGGCACTACTGCAGGATTTGAAATAAATTACTTGAATGTGTGTACTGACTGTATTGCAGCATGATGGCATTTCATAATGACTTCGCAATTCAGTTATGATCTGAACACCAAAAATAGTGATTGTTGAGCAAATCAAAAACTGGGTAGAAAAAAACTAGTAATGATTCTTTGGAGGGTTTTTTTAAAAGTACTATTTAAGGAGTTATTTAAGATTGAAGCAGACTGTTATAAAATATGAGTACACAAAATCAAATCAGTACTAAGCTTTGTCATTTTAAGAATCAAAGCTGTTGCTTCTGTCTTATTATCCTATCAGGTGTTCTAGAATTATCTTCAAATTCAGCAGTGTAGTTTAGCAGAAGGTGATACAATAGTAAAAAATGACATGGAGGTCTCCAGATTTTAAGTCAGTGCATTGCTTTGGATTGAAAGTGCTTTAAAGCAAGAAGAGGCTTCACTCATCACCTTTCTTCAGTGTCTGTTCCAGGATCATAGTGTGTCTATATATACAGAACTGGGTAAAAGCCTATGATGGGAAACATTTAGCACTCTAATTTCTAGAGATGCTTGGTAAAAAAAAAGTCCACTTTTAACATCAATTAACCCACTAATTAGTAAATGGTTTTATTTTACAAAAAAATGATTTTATTTTACCTTTTTATTTAGCATTTTTAAATACCTATATGTACATAAGTACTTTTAAGTGAAGATTCAGTTCTCTCTTTATACAGTTGATGAGCTTGAAAAACGAGTACATCGGTCAGAAAATCCAGTACCACCTCCACCTCCACCCCTCCCACCTCCACTTCCTCCTCCTCCTAATCCAATAAAGTAAGTACCATGCACATTGCATTTTAAACTCATTGCCTAGGCTTAAGTGTTTATTATTCTGAATTGGAAGTGTAAGAAGAATCATAGGAATGTAAGTGTGATGTGTAATGTGACTTTTGGTGTCATAGTCAGATCATGTCCTGATTACCATGGAATTCTATTGTGCCACTATCTACTTCAAAGAGGCTGGATCAATTGGATCGTTCTACCCTGGGTGGTTGATGGACCCATATGGATTTAAGAGGGTGCTTTGGTTGTTCCTACTGATCAGCTGCACAGTCCATCTGGAGTTTGGTCACTGCTTGGAATAAGAGAATGACAGAGGCTTTAGATCAAATTGCGCCTATATAACCTTTCCTTTCTCATGGATGCTATTACTTCCCATGGCTCATGGAAGAGCTAAGGCAATTAAAACAAGAGAGATGTCTAGAGTATTGCTGGCATTCTCAGGGTTGTTCCTTTACTTCTTAAGGAAGCCTTGGTAGCTCCTCCAAAAGCTATTGCTGTCCCCCGTTGTACAACCTTCCCTTGTCTATAGCTTCCCCTTCTTGGGAAAGGTAATTTAAGAAGATGGCTACAAAACAGTTTCAGAGAACGTTGAATGAACTGGGTTATCCGGACATTTTGCAGGCAGGATACAGACCAAGATATGGGATAGAAATGGCATTGGTTGTACTTTTGGATGATCTCTATGGTGAGAGCAGAATGGTGGTTATGCATCCATCCTTGCTTTACTTGATCTCTCAGCAGATTTTGATACCATTGACCATGGTGTCCTTATGGATCAACTCAGAAGATTGGGGGGTGGGCAGCACAGTGTTATGCTAGTTCACTTCCTTCTCCAGGCTTGATTCAAATCTGTGGTTATTGGGGAAGAGAGATTCTGCCCACGGCCCCTACTGATTACACTGTAGTGCAATACTGTAGTTAAAGTAATAATCAGTTAAAAGTTTGGGTGGCATTATTACCTATATCATAAACTTTCGTTGCAGTCAGCTAGATGTTCAAACTGGATTTGGCATTTTTATACACCTATCGAGTCTTTCCAAAGGACCTAGAATAGGCAGATGTGGAGGTTTTATGGTGTTAGAACAGGAGTGTCAAACTCACGGCCCATGGGTTAAATGCATCATGCGCTGGCCACGCCCACCCTTGGTTTAGCGAAGGGGAAAGAAGTCATGATACATCATGTGAACACAATGTGACAACACGAATTTGACACTCCTGTGTTAGAAGTATCATTGCAGGATGTAAACTGTTACAAGTAAAGACACCTTTTTCAATGGACTGATGGTGATTTTGTCAATGCCGATAGTATTCAAGTAGTGCTCCAATTGTTTTGGGGTTGCATCCAAGTACCTATTACTGTTGATACTACCTTTGCTTTCTTTTTCCACAGTCATTCTATTTCTATTTGCAGGTATTTGTATTTTGTTATCTTCTCCAGTTCCTTCTCTTCTCCCCTCCTGCCTCCAGGTACTGCCATATCCACTATCCAGATTTTTTTTTGTCTTTCTTATCAACCGTTGTTAAGCCTGGCATGTTATGCAGCAAGTGTCTATCAGTTTGAATTCTAAAATCCCAGAGCACTTTAGCTTCTTCATTTTCTATTATTTTCTCTATTTTATGATCCCGCCAGTTTTTGCTTGAAGGCAAATGGTATTTCTTGCAGGTCTTCCAATGCATTGTTTTTGCTGCTTTGTCATGCCATTGTTTATAATCAGCCTATGCATTCTTCTTGCAGCAGCTAAGCAGGTGTCTACTATTTCTTCAGCTTCTTTGCAAAGGCAACACATGCTATTACTACAGCTGCTCTTTTAAAAGATAATACCAATTTTGAGGCAAAAGACTATGTACCAATACAGGGTAAAAAAATTCCCAGAAGAAATACAATTCAGTGCATCTTCTGCAGTGAAAATACAGTCAAAGTTACCTCATCCTATTGAAGTAACAGCTTACTATTATAGTTAATGAAAATTTGACATGTTCTCCCATGTCAGCTATGGTAATGAAATTGACGTGTTTCAATGCTAGCTTGATAAGTATGTGCTTTCAATAAATACTATGGAGTCCTTGGTGTTCTCTGACCTTGGTTGTTTGCTTGCAGACGTTTCATTACCCAACTAGATAACATCATTATCTTCTATTGGAATAAACACTATGTATAGATTTAAGTGAAAGAATCAAGTTATTTTCCCATCAGTTTCCTTCACGGTTCAGTCTTGGCCTTGCTTTTAAATCACTTCAGCCATCTACTAATAGATACTAATTATTTAACAGTTCTTTTATGTGCATCTTTCTGATTCTTAAATCAATCTGGACTTTCATGTACTTAATATTCGAGTCTTTTTATTCCACACAAAACCTTGTCCTTTAATTATTCCAAGGCCAATGCTGGTATTGTCTTTTTACTTTTAGTTTCTTTTGAATTTTTCTGTACCCAGATCAAGTGGCTATCAGCTGAGCCTTTTTCTAGGACTGCCATTTCAGAAATCAAATCAATAATACAATTGCAAATTATAACATTAAAAATAGCAAAGCATGGACTTTTAAAAGATGCATTTTATATCATTCAGTGAATATATATTAATGGTATTTCAATTTAGACTGTACTACAGTACATAGTTATAGTTGCTTCTGAAACCTCACATAACAAGTTTTTTCATGGCGTTTTCTAAAAAGACCTTTTCTGGTCTTCACTAGGCTACAGAGACAATCTTGCAGTTAAATACCCCCAGCGGCCCCCAACCAGGGACCGGTTCCGTGGTGAGAGGTTTTTCCGCAGATTGGAGGGTACATAGTTTTGCATGCTGCCTGCATCCCACAAGTGGGGCTTCACTTGTTTGCACGGCCCAGTTTCTGGCATGCCACAGACAGGTGCCAGTCCATGGACCGGGGGTTGGGGACCCTTGCTCTAGTTAGCAGATATAACAGAGTAAGTAGGTGTGTCAGAATTCACCTCTGTACAAGAAGCTTGTATACTATCCATACTATGCCAAAATAAAGTGGCAAATAGCTGCCAATCCTCCAGAATTTTTCTGAAGACCCCTTGGCCATCTTCTCCCTTGTGCAACATCTTCAGGGGACCTGGGCCAACATCTGAGCAGTTCTGAGTCTTTGGGGAGTCTTCATTTTAAAGAATTGTAGCACTGTCAGTGGAAAGGCTATGGACAATGCTGAATGGTCTTAAGAAGAAGAACAAGGCTTTCTTCTAGTAATCCACATCTAAAATTGAGACAATGGGGCAGCTTGTCCAGCACTGCCTATGGGTACCCAAGAAAATCAAAGATGCTCATTTCATCTATCTCTGAGGAAGTGAAACAGGCCATTATCCAGCCTTGATGGTAAAAGACATTTCTATGGGAAAAGATCCACTTGAATACTTTGCAGCCTGGCATCCAAAAACACAGATTCCATATGTATTCCAGTGAAGGACACCTCCTTAACATTAGTGCTTCCAAGGATTGAGAAAAGAAATGTGAATCCAAAAAAGGAATTTGAAAAATTGTTTAGAGTTGGAGACCAAGGCTATGCTCTTTTTGGCTTTCTTCTTTCTCCAGAACAAAAACTTTGAGTTTGGTTGGGCTGTTAAAGACAGCCTATCTTTTCAAGTGGTGGCTTCATTCCAATGCCCCCAAACTCTTCATTTTCATAAAGTAGTGGTATTAACTTAGCAAATTTGGGGGTTTTGTGGATTTGATTCTTTCAGTGAGAATGGAATCTTTGTGACCAGAAAAATTCATTGCTGCACTGATCAGGACAAAAGAGTCAAAGGGATTTTCCCATGCAAGGAAGATCAGTCAATATATATTGCTCCTTTATAAGGTTGTGTCTTATAAGACTGGTGAAAATGTGTTCAGCTGAAGCCTGGTGAACTTGATAGGATGCCTTTAAACTGAATCCTGGGGTGGTTAAAGATGAAAACTCTGAAGTAAGACTCTCAGATAAAGGGCATGTATTTTAGAAGGAAGTGAGAGAGTTACTATAAATAGAAGCTAATCAACCATTCAATGAAAAATCAGTAAAAAATATTAGGTCACAGAATTCCTCTTATTCAGTATATAAACACTAATGGGTAGAATATTGAAGATAAGCAAAGCAGACTTCGGTAGCCCTATAATTCAGTCACTTTCCAATTCTTTGTGACTGAATGAACATCATTTTCTCAGGTTCGTCTGTCAGTAACTGCTTCTTTGAATTTTGGTAATTTCATACGTATGTCTTCCGTGGTAGTTTTTAATCTCCTTGCCTTCTGTTGGCCTTTTTTCAGTTGCCTTTAATTTTTACAAACATCAGTGCTTCCTTCAGTACTTTTGTGTTAGCATTAGGTGTTTGAAATATTAAGTTGTAATTTCATTATTAGTGTCTCCAAAGAGTAGTCTCCTGGTTTTTCTTGCAGTCCATGATATTCTCAACAATTTTCTCCAACACAGCAATTCAGAGGCATCATTTTTCTTTGTTCAGCTTTCCTGTTAATTCAACTTTCACAGGCATGTTAAAACTGGGAAAACATAGCCGTGACAATATGTAGCTTTATTGTCAGTGTAAAGTCTCTGTTCTTTAATATTTTGCCTAAATTTGTCATAGTCTTTTTTCCCAAATAGCAGACATTACTTTATTTCCTAGCTACAGTCACTATATCTATGAATTCTTAAGCCCAAGAAGATAAAGTCTTTTTATTGTTTCAATTTCTCTTCTGTCATTTGACACAGAAGGTATTGCCCATTGATATAATTTTAGGTTTTTTTCTCCAAGATTGAGCAGCAGATTAAGTTATTCATTCTTTATGTTGCATTCTGTAACAGGCTTCTTACATTTTTCTCACCTCCAGCCCCACTATGCTATCATCAACTTATTGTTGATGTTTCTTCTGACAACTTTTGATTTCTATTTCTATTTCTTCCATTGCAGCATTTTTCATAATATATTTTGCATATATGGTAAATAAATGTGTACAACCTTGCAACACTCCCAATTTTGAATCATTTAGTTGCTCCATA